GTGTGTCAGGCATTCTTTCCATTTTCAAGGACAATTCTGCTAACGCTGGAAATTTGGTCTTCATCAAAGATGTTTGATAATGTTGAGAAAAATTATGGCATCTCTCCATAGGGGACTGGATATTTTCACTTATTAAACATTACTGCTCAGCAATTGTTCCACACGGCTCCTTGTATTTCAAGGAGGGATTCTGGTAACTAGTGTTCTTTGGAATACAGTCAAATTAGTATCTGAACATTTTTTTGGCATTGAAACCTCCTGTCTGGTACTAATGCAGTTTAAAAGGTCAAGACAGAATATGCAAGGGAGATACCTTTTCGAACTAGGACCCCATTAATATGTAAAGATATGGCATATCTTTCAAGTTATATCTTAGCAGTAACTCCAGTTGTTTGCTGTTTCTGGCACAATGTATGAAACCGATTGAAACTTTAACCACAAAGGGGGGGGGGAGAGAAATAACAAACAGAGGCTGGTCAGAAATACTTGACAGAGGAGTCTGGAAAGAAGTGATTAAGATTAACCCTGCCAGAGTTGATAACGCCTGTAGAAAAGCCAATAAATTAACTGGCAAATATTTCAGGGAGCATGGTGGGATGGTCTGATACAGGATCCTTGGGTTGCACTTATCCAGTGTGCCACCTGTTTAGTCTGGGCTTTGTGTTTCTGATACAGGCTGTGCTGCTTTCCTAGGACACTTAAACAAGAGGCAGTAGTGTGTGTGCGGGTGCATGTGTCACCCCTGTGCTGTGTTCGTGAGGTTTCAGGAAACAGCTGTCTGGCCACAGCAAGAGATGGAATGCTGGACTGAAAGGGAGACTTTGGTGAGATACATCCAAACCTTGTGTTCTTTGGGTCTGGCAGTCTAGTAAGGTCCGGAAGTACATATCTTGGAGTATATTCTTTTAGTATATCTGGCAATTAGTCAGGACAACCTCTATAGACAGGCAGCAGTGCAAGAAGCATTGATTGGGTAAAGGATTTAGAACTGGAACAGACCTAAGTTAGTCCTGTCCAGTAATTTTGGTGCTCTACTCTGCATATGATTTCAGCTACAGCCCTGACCTATTAGACCGGGAGTAAGCCGCACTGAATTTGGTCAGACTTACTTCTGAGTATACAGTTAAGATTGTGCCGTTACTTGGATGTCACTATCCTTTTCCCCCCGTTTCATAAATGGATAGGAAATTTGTAATTAAATAAATACTGTGTCTACAAACCACTGGGTTCTCCTGCTAAGGCCCACATTTCTATGAGACTCATGCAGGTGAAACCACCATAGATAGTACGCTGTGCATGTGTGTCCATATGGAGAGAGAGTTGTATCCAATGCTAGACCTTCTCAGAGTAGACCCATTGAAATGAATGAATCCATGCTTGCTATGTTCATTAACTTTAATAGGACTAGCAATGACTGCAGCCCATAGAGACAGCTATCATAGTAACAAGGTTATATTTATATATCCAGAGCAGATTCAAGGATTCTCTATGTTTGCTGATATTAATATCTCCATGATTACAAACGTTACAAGTAATGGTATGCTCCATCATGCTTTTCTTTAAATGTGTCATCATATTTATTGATGATGTGTTGTGATAAAGCTTCCCACTAAATACTTTGCCAGCTCATTTGTTATGTGCTCTACTAATCTGGCTGATCATCTCTTTCCACTGTCTTAGTCTAGATATTTCAGAATATTCTGGCTATCTGAGAGTTCCAATAGAAAACATGTGGCTGATAGAATATTCATTTTCTAATTGGCAGCAGTTCCAAATAGTTTATAGCTGTAGTGATTAATTAGACAGGTTGCGTCAAGACTGATCAGTAAAATAAAGATATTTGAGGCATTGTGTCTGCAAAAATGTACATAAACCATGTATGTATGTATGGAGAAAAACAGAGAATGGTTTTAATTTGAAAGAACACATAAGATTTCACAAGAAGCAGATTCTGATTAGTTTTGTCATGGGTGACAAACAGGTACTTCATAATGTTGAAGAAGGACACCCCCTAAGTATCAGATACTCAGTCAATGTATCATCCATAGAAAATGTGGAAAAGATACTAACACAAAGAGGATTTGGAAAAGATTTGAGCAAAGCATAGCATGAACTTTAATCTCCAGATGAACTTTATTTCACATAACCAAAGAACCTTACAAAATAAAAAATCACATTGTATCCCTGATATAAATGTGCATTTACAACAGAAGCTGGGGGCATTTTTTCAACCCACTGGCCACATTCCCCCATGGAGAACTTTCCCAGCAGGACCAAAGGGAAAAAGTGAGCAGAGCAATGGATATGACTTTGCACAATAGGCTACATTCCAGGCACACAAGAGTCAGAGATTTCTACATACCCACATTTTGCTATCTAAGCAAGCAAGAGGCATTATCACAATTCAAGGACATTCCATTTTTTAAAAAATAGTAATATTTATTACTTTTCCAACAATTTAAACACTACAAAAACAATACAATACAATACAATACAAAAACACTACATAACATTGACACATTAAACACATTGAACTAACAAAACAAAACAAAAACAGTAAAATAAATCAAACAATTTCATTATCCCATCTTTCATTCACTTATTTCCACGACCTCCTCACACCTCCCTTTTTGTATTCCACTTCTGTTAGATGTTTCAGCAATTCCTTTCCATCTTCCTCTGTTTTCTATCCTATAATTATCTTAACACATTCTAACCTTATTTTTTCCTTTAATACTCTATTAATCTATTTATACTTAATTCCTTATAACATTTCTACTAAAGCCATATAACTTCATTTCAACATTTTTCTAACATACATTAATACTGTATTTCTTCAGTCTTCTTCCACCAACTCCTCTCCCTGGTCTAGGATACTGCCAGTCATATCCGCCAGTTCCATGTAGACAATAAACATCATCAGCCATTCTTCCCGGGTGGGCAAATCTTGTGTCTTCCAATACTTCGCGATGAGTATTCTTGCTGCTGTTGTTGCATACATAAGAAAAGTTCTATCTTTCTTTGGCACCAATTGGCCGACCATGCCCAGGAGAAAGGCCTCTGGTTTCTTCAGGAAGGTATATTTAAATACCTTTTTCATTTCATTATAAATCATCTCCCAGAATGTCTTAATCCTTGGGCATGTCCACCAAAGGTGAAAGAATGTACCTTCAGTCTCATTACATTTCCAACATTTATTGTCGGGCAAATGGTAAATTTTTGCAAGCTTGACTGGTGTCATGTACCACCTATAAATCATTTTCATTAAATTTTCTCTTAGGGCATTACATGCCGTGAATTTCATACCAGTGGTCCATAACTGTTCCCAGTCAGCCATCATTATATTCTGTCCAACATCTTGTGCCCATTTAATCATGGCTGATTTCACCGTTTCATCCTGAGTGTTCCATTTCAACAGCAAGTTATACATTCTTGACAAATTCTTGATTTTTGGATCTAACAGTTCTGTTTCCAATTTTGATTTTTCCACCTGGAAACCAACTTTTTTGTCCAAATTGTATGCCTCCATTATTTGGTAATAATGGAGCCAATCTCGCACTTTATTTTTCAATTTTTCAAAACTCTGCAATTTTAATCTGTCTCCCTCTTGTTCCAGAATTTCCCAATATTTCGGCCATTTGGCCTCCATATTGAGTTTTTTCTGTGCCTTAGCTTCCATTGGTGACAACCATCTTGGGGTTTTCTTTTCTAGCAAATCTTTATATCTTATCCAAACATTAAACAATGCTTTTCTAACAATATGATTTTTAAACGCTTTATGTACTTTTATCTTATAGTACCACAAATATGCATGCCAGCCAAATGCATTATTGAAATCTTCTAGATCCAACATGTCAGTGTTTTCAAGAAGCAGCCATTCTCTCATCCAACAAAAAGCAGCTGATTCATAATAGAGTTTAAGGTCTGGCAGGGCAAATCCACCTCTTTCTTTAGCATCAGTTAATATCTTAAATTTTATTCAAGGCTTCTTGCCCTGCCAAACAAATCTGGAAATATCTTTCTGCCACTTCTTGAAACAATCCATCTTATCCAAAATTTGTAATGTTTGAAAGAAGAACAACATCCTTGGCAGCACATTCATTTTTATCACAGCAATTCGGCCTAACAATGATAACTTCAAATTTGTCCATATTTCTAAATCCTTTTTCACTTCAATCCAACATTTTTCATAATTATCCTTAAATAAATTCACATTTTTGGCAGTCATGTTAACCCCACAATTCAAGGACATTCCAGCCAGGCAAAAGCACTGGGCAGGTTGCCAAGCCGATGAGGAGTATGGCCCAGGGATAGTCCTGAGGGACAGACAGAGAGGCCTGGAGTGCCTGCATTCCCTACTCCTAATTTACAATACCCATTGAATCCATCACAATTGAATCCATAACTGCAGTTGAATGTATCAGTGCATAATTTCATTAAACCATTAATGTTTCCCTTGAAAAAACTTGCACATAATTTCTTAGTCAGTGCAGCAAACAGCATCACCTGATATAGCAACACTTGCCTATCATTTATATCACAATATCTTGTTGCAGTTTATCTGATTACTGGGAGAGTATCTGATAAACATTTCTCCCTTGCTTCAGTGTATAAAGGACAGATGAACAGATAGTGTACAAAATTTCCAACATGCTCACATCCAAGAACACATTTCTGTTCCTGCCATGGTATACTTATATAGTATACCATGTAGATGGCATAAATCTACAAAACATTTTCTTAACTGAGGGATGGACAAGGTATGAAAGTATTTGTTTTATTTATTTATGCAATTTCTACCCTGCCCTTATTCCCAAAGGAGTCCAGGGTAACAAACAATAAATTTGCAAAACAATCCATTGTGTGGATTTGAACTGCCGACCTTACAATCAGCAAGCCCAAAAGGCTTGGTGGTTTAGACCACAGTGCCACCCGCATCCCTATAGGTACTGCTGCAGTGGGAAGGTAGTCCAACCCTCTGCAATGCAGGAATAGGCAGCTGTTGCATATGGGGATCAAACCTGCAACCTTGGCATTATCAGCAACATGCTCTAGCCAACTGAGCTATCCAGTCAATCATGACTACATATCCAGTCCTTCCTTCTTAAAAGGTCATGAATGCTTTTAATTATTTGAATTTTATATTTTCTTTTAATTGGGATGATTGATTTTGACAAGCAGCAACCAGTGTCATCAGTTATAGCAACCTTTATACTTTCTGACCATTAATCAACTGAAAAACAAAAACAAAAAAGCACATTTCCCCCTCTGTTTGTTAAAGTGATGTCAATGAGCAGGACATAGTGGATGCCTGATCCGAGTAGCCTTGAAATTCATTTTGGGTCAAACAGATAATAGTAACAACTACTAAAAAGAAGTGGAGGGCTCTTACAAATAAATATAAGTAACCATCAGATCCCAGAGAGTCATCATTATTATTACTTTTTAAACCAAACATCGGTTAAGGTAAAGGGAGCCTACTGTGACATAATTTAGCAATATCCCCATCTACTTGGATATCACTTTTACTGCTATTTATCCCAGTTGTACTGTCTAATTTGTTGATAGTTGTCAACAGTATTGTAAACAGTTTAAGCAACAAAGACTTCTGAAGGACAAGAGTGATAGGAATGTTTTGGGTTTTTCCACTGAGTAATCTTAGTTTTCACACCTCACTTTTTTCTGATTTAACATGAGGGCTATTCGTAGCCTTTTATTTTTCTGCATCTTATGCTATGTTATCAAATTCTAAATTAGAAAGTAGCAAAGGAAAAATAGAGGGTAGCAGATAACAGCAATGTGTAGGCTTTTTGCCCCTTCTAAAGTGGGTGTATATAATCAGTTTTAGCTTATGCAATAAAATTAATATGGTACGATTCAGAGTTCACAAATCACCTTTATAAAAGGATGATGGCCACTCATTGAGATGATGTATAATGAATAATAGCAACATTATAGTTTAAATGGGGATTAAGTCATGATAGATTAGAGTAGAAAACATGTGGAAAGTAGATCAATTAATCACAATCACTGTCAAGCCAATTAATATTTACAGATTAATGACATGCTCCACAATGAAGGGATATTTCAATTGTTACCAGTCTTGTAATATATAAATCTACATGCATAAACCTTTACATGTCACCCTTCCTAAACTTTGGCAGGTGCTTTTTAACAGTTGGTTCTAAAATGAGATCTACAATATTACTTCCAGCATTTCTTTTAGAAATGACCAAAAGGATTTTGACCACACCTTGTATATATTTACGTTTCTTTATACTAGTAGGACTGGTTGATGCATGCAAGGTTCCTTTCTCCATAGGACTTCTCCTGACTGCACTGCAGAGGCCATCAGATGGATAAATGCAATGCAATTTGTTGGACTAGGCACTGTGTGGATATACTCTGCTGATATTTCTGGAATGGTTTAAGCCCAGGTGTGATTGGGAAGGCTCACATAGATTTTTTTTAAAAGTGAGCATTTGCAGGTATAACTGTCCCATAACCTTACATTATTTATTTATTAGATATTTAAATCATGTTTACCTCTTAGGTCAGCTCATAAGTTTGATAGTTAGGGCAGCCATGCCCTGGCCTGCCCAAAGGACATAACACATAAGAAAGGAGGAGGGGGGAAAGCAACCTTAGGCACCAGTTCTTTTAATTCCCAACTGAATGGAAACCCAGCCTAAGAACTTGTCTCTTGGTAAACATTTCTTCATACTTCCATGTCTCAGAACCAGTCAGAATTTAGCCAGTCATGAACGATATAATACACTGGAACTGGGTTACAGAGTTTATTATTAGTATTAAATTGGTAGCACCAAGGCAAAAGAGTAGAGGGCATCCACATCCGTGTGTGTGTGTATACATATAGTCTCTTTTTTTTTTTAGATATTTATTAGGAATTTACAAGTTACAGAAAAAGAAAGAGAACAATAAAGAATTAAACAAAACAAAACAATATCTTACAATACATCAAAAAAACAAAAAGAAAAACAAAAAAACAATACAATAAAACAACGAAAAAACAGAACAAAAACATTTAAAAACACATCCAACCTTTCCATGTCTTTACCTTTCATATACTTGTTTCATCGACCTCCTCACACCTCCCTTTTTTGTATTCTAGTTCAATTAGCTATTTCAGCAAGTCCTTTCCATCTTTCTCAATTTTCGCTCTAAAATTTAACTTAAGACACTCTAACCTTAAATTTTCCACTTTGGTCCATTAACAATCTATTTTTACTTAATTCTTTATAACATTTCTGCTAAAGCCATATAGCTTCGTTCCAGCATCCTTCTAACATTCATTAATTTTGCAGTATTTCTGTAAATATACTTTAAATTTTTTCCAATCTTCTTCCACTGACTCTTCTCCCTGGTCTCGGATTCTGCCAGTCATTTCCGCCAGTTCCATGTAGTCCATCAGCTTCATCTGCCATTCTTCCCTGGTGGGTGGATCTTGTGTCCTCCAGTGCTTTGCGATAAGCATTCTTGCTGCTGTTGTGGCATACATGAAAAAAATTCTATCCTTCTTTGGCACCAATTGGCCTACCATGCCCAGGAGAAAGGCCTCTGGTTTCTTTAGAAAGGTATATTTAAATACCTTTTTCATTTCATTATAGATCATCTCCCAGAATGCCTTAATCTTTGGGCATGTCCACCAAAGGTGAAAGAATGTACCTTCAGTTTCATTACATTTCCAACATTTATTATCGGGCAAATGGTAAATTTTTGCAAGCTTGACTGGTGTTATGTACCACCTATAAATCATTTTCATTAAATTCTCTTTTAAGGCATTACATGCCGTAAACTTCATACCAGTGGTCCATAACTGTTCCCAGTCAGCCATCATAATATTATGTCCAACATCTTGTGCCCATTTAATCATAGCAGATTTCACCATTTCATCTTGAGTATTCCATTTCAGCAGCAAGTTATACATTCTCGACAAATTCTTAACTTTAGGGCCTAACAATTCTGTTTCCAATTTTGATTTTTCCACCTGGAAGCCTAATTTTTTGTCCAAATTATATGCCTCCATTATTTGATAATAATGGAGCCAATCTCGTACTCTGTTTTTTAATATTTCAAAGCTCTGCAATTTTAATCTGTCTCCCTCTTGTTCCAAGATTTCCCAATACTTCGGCCATTTGGCCTCCATATTGAGTTTTTTCTGAGCCTTTGCTTCCATTGGTGACAACCATCTTGGGGTTTTATTTTCTAACAAGTCCTTATATCTTATCCAAACATTATACAGTGCTTTTCTGACAATATGGTTTTTAAACGCTTTGTGTGCTTTAACCTTATCATACCACAGGTATGCATGCCAACCAAATACGTTGTTGAAACCTTCCAAATCCAACACATCCGTGTTTTCAAGAAGCACATATATTCTCTTTAAAGCAGTGATGGCCAAACTTAGCCCTCCAGCTGTTTTGGGACTACAGTTCCCATCATCACTGACCACTGGTCCTGTAGGTAGCGATAATGGGAGTTGTAGTCCCAAAACAGCTGGAGGGCCAAGTTTGGCCATCACTGCTTTAAAGTTACATGAAATGTCCAAAGCTGTAGCTGCAGCTGTGTGTGATAGAGAGGATTAAATACAGAAAATTAAATGCACACACACAGATAGACAGGTACAAACAATCAGTTAAGACAGATTGATTTGTAAGCTTTGCTGGCCCCAGCATGGCATTACCTGCTTTTAAAATGGCAGTAGGTTCATCAAACAGACTGGTGTCATCACACAGTGTGTAAAATAGAAGACTTACAAAGTGGCAAGCAGAGGCTCAATGAACTTGAACCCAGATCTCTGAGGTTCAAATTAGACACCCTGTTCCCTAGATTACACAGATATGAGTCTCTATGTAATTCTAATTACAAACTGTTATCTCTTTCTGTTGTTTTGCCTTACAACTCATGAACAATGCATTTTTTAAACATTCTTTGGGCAAGGAAATGACATCACTTCCTCTAATAGTGAATTTACTATAAACTCTAACCTTATTCACTGCACACAGTTACCAAATGCATGAAGGGGCCAGCGGGAACACTATTTCCTTAGTGACAATGCTTCTATGCATGTAGGATTCCCAGCAGAAAGATGCGAATCTCCAGGTTTGCAAACTTTATGTGCATAGAAATGCCAACCATGTGTCACCTTGGGATATGGCCAGCAGGTATGATACTGGTGAGAAGGTGGCAACTCCCCTCTTTCCTGTGTGTGATTTCCAAATACATAGGCACCAAATACTTGAATATGCAAAGAGACTGCCAGTGGCACTATATCTCAGAATGTCAGTTGCTGGGATTCACAAACAGAGAGAGTAATGTTGTGCTCAGGTCTTGCTTTCAGGATTCCAGTAGGTATCTGGTTGGCCACAGTGAGAACAGGATGCTGGACCAGATGGGCTGATCTTCTTGTGTCCTTAAGAAGCGCTTGACTTTTTGATCAGGGCAAAGTGTTCCAACTCTATATAGTTGAATCTCGTCTACCTGAGGGAAATATTTTCACATTTTTGGAAGGATATGCTTGCAAATCTGAATCAATATGTGACATTTTCAGTTCAATAATGAAATATCTGCAGCCATTCTTTTTGCTATTAACAATATTGGCTTAACAATAAATGTTTACAGATAAAAAACACATTATAGCATTATGTCTTTGGTCAAAATTACACCTGCTGTGACAAGCATTTACCATAGCAAGCCTTAGGATAAACCCTTTTATTATCCTATCCACAAATTCTCTGCACCTCTGTTTCACTCGCTGTTTTTGAGTGCAAGAGCTCTTGCAGTTGTCTGCTGTACAATGACGGGAGAAAGAGAGAGAAGGAGCAACAATAAAAATCAAAATGGGGAATACAAGGAGTACGTATTTCAGAGCATGGCCTTCCCCAGGGCTTTCAAGGAACAGAGAACAGATTTGCTCATATGTATCTTTGCCATCCCATTCCCCTTAAGATCTGTGTCCTGCTGTCTCTAGTAGCTCCATGAGCTCTCCTCTCTATTGGGCTGCATCTCCTGCCATCCGTTTTTGGTTATTTCTGTGGTTATCCAGCTGC